GTTTTCTGTTTCTGTAACGGTAAATTGCTTAAGAACGTTGTCATTTTTTTTTTTTTTTTTAAATACATATATCTTATCATGGAGATTCAGTTAGAAAGATATTAATATTTTGAGAATTATTTTTTTCCTAAACATTTAGGTACATAATTTATTAAATTTTTCAATATTTAAAATATTTTGATCTTTAACTCTTATATGTAAAACAAAGATCTCATTTGTTTTTTTATATGTGAACGTATGTTTTTAATTTCATAGATCTGTAGACAAAATTAAAAAAAAAATGTAGCGTTTGAATTTCTAATTTTCATCACACGGTTCCCTACTTATTACGTCCTGTAACGTTTTGTTAATACATTGAAGTATTGTTAATTGTGTTTATAAATTCCCTAATTGTGACTAAATTTTATATTGCTGCACAATGTACGATGGAAACTAATAAACGTTATGATTTCGTACACAAAAACTTTTTCCTATTAGTAATAGAGAAAATTTTGTAAACATGTTTTTGATATTTGACATTTATGCCCCGGCTACTGAAGATTTGGGTATTTTGTATCCATATGCCATAAACATTAAAATATATTTCCCTGATGTAGAAGTAATAAACAATCAATAAAGATGGTGATGATAATGGCAATTAATATGCCATAGATATTGACAAAAAATTTCTTCTTGAAATCTTTGAAGAAGGATATAATCAGTGTTAATTAAACTCAACATTTTGTGTCGAGTAATATTATCTGATAAAACAATTTTTTCAGAATTATTATTTGACCGATAGAAGTTATTATTATTATTTATAACCACATAAAAGCACTTGTGGTTTATTTAACCCAACAATATTGATTTTAAATTCAAAACTTTATCATTTACAATATTAAAAAAAAAACAAATAAATGTCTACGTAATTAATATTAAAAATAGTTACATGTAGTAAAATAAAATAAAATAAACAAACATTGTCTTGGTAAAATTTAATTTTCCATTTGATTTAGGAGTAAAACAATGCAGCAAGTAGTTGATATTTTAAAAATGTAAAAAAAACCTAGATACTAGTTGTACTTATCCCATTTTCGAACTATAATAAAAAGATAGTTTTTGCAGATTGCATATATTTTAACAAAAACGCCTAAAATCTTAAAAAAAATTTATCAAACCATAAAAACAATTTTATGTAGATGTATGATACAACAACAAAAAAAAAATGTATCGAAGGACCAGCCAAAGTCATTTCGGCACGAGAAGAAAAAGGAAGCAGTACTGAGTTGTTACGCCTAATTAGTTTTCGGTAGCAACCTAACGCACACTATCATAAGTAGCTGTTCAGATGGCATAACGGTAAGAGAATTGGACGATAGTAACACGGGATCGACGCAGACTTTTACGGAATGAATCAGTTTATATTTACAATGGACAACAGAAAATAGAGTTTATATACAAGGGGGTTCTTATGGTGGGTTCCGTTCTGTGCAATGGCTAAAAGAAAAATCTTCAAACTAAACTAAAATTAACTTAAAAACTACTGACGGAGGCGAACTCGTTATTGTAATTGAATGGTTATACAAACAGCAAACTCCGCATACAGCCAAGCGAAATGAATAGACACAATTCAGGTATGTGGCGTGGCAGCTGGGTAATTAAAATAATAATAGCAACAACAATACAGGTTAGATTAATTTTAATTTACAGAGGACGGACACAACAACGGAACAAGCAGGGAGAAAAATGCCAACCAACAACAACGATAACGCGTTAACAGTAGATCTATGCAGAATGATACTATTAAGTTTTGTGCTCAAGTACCACTTTTGACTATTCAATTTTTTTTTTTTTGGTTGCTGAGTAAATATGAAAACTGATATTAAATTCATAATCACCGGCCCTAAATCATATAATTTGACCACTTTTGAAGCCTTTTTTTATAAAATCCAAAAAAATGTTTTAGCTCCGATGCATAGCGGCGAAGGTGTTGGTTTTACTCTGATGTGTTTTTTTTTATCTGTATACACTGTATCTTTTTTTATACCGGACCAATTACTTCGAATAGCAACTCTATAAATCACAAATTTATGCTAGTTGGTACTTTGGGGTGGAAGGGGGGAGTAGTGTAAAATAGTGTTCTTTTTTTTCTATTGGCATCATCGTGTGTACAAACTAGTATAAACTAGTCACTAAAGTAAGCAGATATTATTGAGTATTTTAACTTTTAAGGTTAACCGTTAACGACAATGCATGTGTTATCATAATATTGTGTACAGTGAATAAAATAGTAGAATGTTTAGTGTTTACTAATCAGTAATCATTGTAATATGTGAAATAAGAGAGGTACAGCTACATAACGTACCTTCACCTTATCTACTACTATTTTCGGACGTCTAGCTGTAGTTCGAATGCCGACTACCTGTACGAATTATACGGTAACTAAAAAAGTGACCCCCGTTGTCGTTGGTAACAAAATTGAGTGTACTGAAGTGGCTCTAATTTAAATTCTTTATATATTAATAACTTACCAATGCATTTTGCTAATTAAAAGGTATGAATTCTCATTATTAGATGAAGGCACCATGAATTATAACGACATTAATTTTGCCAGCTACTATGCAACTTTACTACTTTACTTGCCAGCTATTTTGAGCAAAGAATTTTTATCATGCAGTAGGTACATTAAATTATTTGACAATTTTTTATATTAGTGTGGCACGCAAAAAGTATTTAAATATAAAAACAGAAGTACTTTATTATTTATTGAAATAAACCTGAGAACCGTGAAAGTAAGTATAATACTATGCATAACATAATACAGCATAATACTAAAAAGTTAAAAGTTAATAGAAATTTGTAGTATTACATAAATATCAAATCTTAAAACATGGTGTATTTTCTGTTAATGGATTAATTATTTTTAAAATCTATTTTTTTTCTTAGATAATGAAAAAAAAAATACGAATGACTCATTAACCAAATGGTTATTGTTTGCTAAAGTAGGGATCACTGGTCAGTCTTCTGTAACCAATACCACAACAGTAATTCCATCTTGCACTACAACTGCTGTTCCTCAAACTTCGACTATTATTTCGGTTACTGTTCCTACGTCCACGCCATCAGCTACTGTCTCTATCTCATATAACACATCGGACATGATCAGTACTTCTAAAATATTTCATCGTGTGCATAGAAATGGAAAACATTATAAAAAATGTATTTCTTGTGATAAATATCCTGACACAGTAAAAATATATTCAGAGAAGTCACAACTTCCAAAAATAACTCAGGATCTTGGTGCTTTGCTTGGACAAGAAGTAGTTGATAATCATTTAACGAAATCCTATCATACATTCAGTCTGAAAATGCTTCGCCTTTCTACATTATCATAACCCAATTCTAAGCAATATACTCTAATAGGTCGTGCAATTTTAAAATACAATGAAAAACTTGGAAATAGAATTGGTTCCTTAATGGTACATGCATATGGAGATCCAAAAAAATTGACTTTAAGTGCATACCCATATCCTATAAGAGTAGTTACAAGTCAAATTGCTAATCAATTTAATTTTAATGAATACAATAAAAATAATACTTATGATTTTCAATATTTAACTCCTACAACACATAAAGAATTTCTTCAATGTATTATGAAAAGTTATAAAACAACTTTTTCAGAATAATTAATTTCGGATACATTATCTATGTCATTGCGGTGTGATGTGTCGGTGGATCGATCGCAGGTGGATAAAATGTAAGTCATATTAAAAACCGTGTCATTAAAAGGAATAGCAGAGCAATACTTTTTGGGAGCTGTGCAAGTCGAACAAGCAAGTGCAGAGGGAATTTTAGACGCTATTGAAACAGCTTGTAAAAATACCGTTGGTCAAGAGGTAACTGAATGTATTTTTAAAAACATATCATCGGTTGTTACGGATGGTGCTGCTGTGAATATTGGTAACAAGGGAGGATTGTGGACATTACTTGAAAATAAATGGAGAGATAAGACAAATAAATTTAACGTGCCGTTAATTAAAATTTGGTGTGCAGTGCATAGATCAAATTTGGCATGGAAAGATATAAGTTCTACAGTGGTGGAAATTTCCCATTTAGTGTTTAAGTTGTCGGGTATTTAAGAGTTTTCGTTCAATAATTTAGTTGGAGGATGGATTGATGGACTTGAAGACAAACTTAACAGTACTGATGGTAAAACACTGAAAAGTATTAAATTAATAGATACACAAGAAAAAAGAAGTAGTAGACATAATTTATACGTCACTGAAAACAGATCTGTACAAGCTATATGTTATAAAATAGCGATGAGTATATTGTGAATACAATTAAACCAGCGGCTAATTTAAATCCAAATGATACATAAAAAACGCATTCAACGTTTTGGGTCCTGATTTAGATTTAGCCGGCCTAGATATGGAATATACAGACATACTGGAACATGATAAAATAGAGGACCTACGCTAGATGTCTTTGTCTAAACTTGTTCAGCATTTATCTGGATCTCATGCGTACAAAAATCTAAATGTTTTACTTTCTTGTATTATAGCTGACAAACCTCACAGTGCTGACGTTGAACGTTTAATCAGTAAAAGTAATATTCTTAAATCAATAAACCGTCAAAGTTTGCACGTAGAAACTGAAAATGAATATCTATTTATTCACTTTAACATGCCACACCTACAAAATTGGGATCCAAGACAAGCGTACAGATATAGTTAAAACAAAATTAACGTCGCGTTTATGATACTCGTACACCAAAAGCTAAGGAACAAGAATGGTATCATGGTATATTTGAGGAAGGGTCAAAAAGAAATTCTGAACAAGAACATGGTGATACTTCAAATAAAAGAAGACAATTTTAAAATAAAAATACTATTATGTTTTTTATACCTGTGTGTTAATTACAAAAAAAAATTTTATTTTAAACAAGAAAAAAGTAAAATTATAATAAAAAAGGACATTTTAATCCTATGTTTATATTATTTATTATTGTTATTTATATTAGTAGGCACAATTAGATACAAGTGAAACATAAACTATACTATAATTAGAAGTTAAAATTTAAATTATTTAGTGCAAACGCTCTTATTAAGCCAAGTTAGGTTAGGGTGATGCAGGTTCGGTTCCATAATAACATGCGCAGTTGAAAAAAATCCTTAGAATAAGCCATGCCTGAGAGAATAGGTTATGTTAAACTATAAACGCCAGTCAATTCCCTCATTTAAATATGTACTTATGCGTTCCCCTTTGACGTTTCCGTTGTTTACAAAATGTATATGGCTCTCAAAGATTTTGAAAGACTGTTTGACTGTCAGTCCGTGACGTAAGACACAAACACCGTGTACAACATCAGCCTTTGTTATGTACTCTACTGGGAATTTTGTACTCGTGAACAAACCCAACATTTGACATACGTGTTGAAAATTCATATTGTGGTTCCTTGGTTCTAAAGAAAAAGTTTTCAAAAGTAAGCTAAATTTGGCTTGCTGCACGGACAAACAAATACATATTTGGACAAACTTAAATTAAGGATAAGCCTTATATCCTCACCCAAGAGAAAAAGTGTATTGAGTCACAAAATGGAAATTTTACAGAAGAGAAAAAAATAAATTTATATATATTATCCGAATATGAATTTTTTCCGTGTAACCGCTAGTTTTTGTATTAGATTATTATTTACTTTCATCAATATCGGTCAATAACTTTGATAAAGTTTTTTTAAACAACATTCTTCGATCAACTCCACGCTCAAAAACAGTAACGTCATGATTACCTGAAAATTCAATAAATGTGTTAAACAAAGTATAAATAATTTTTTTAAGTGTTGTTAATTTGGTAACCTCAGTAAACACGGTGAAATTAAAAATTACAAATTACATTATTCGAAAAACGAACATATTTTAACAAACACACAAATCGTTAAAAGATGTTTTTATTGGAATTATACGTGTACGTGTGTTGCAATTATAAATGTCAAAAACGTTTTGTGATAGGTACTTTATTATATTAAAAAGATGTGCAGTAACTACAATTACTGGTATAGTTTTTCGCTTACAATAAAAATGCCAATTGAAATAAATATCGGACACAAATTTCGACTAGTGAATACAAGCCATTCTACTAGCTTTTATTAGTTTTTATTAAAATAACTAAAAAAAATAAAAAGACTAAATATTCTAATTGATTAATATTTGTGTGTGAGATATAAATGGGTCACTATACCCATTTCTATCTAAATTTAGAAGTTAAATTATGTAATGTTTTAAAATTAAAAGTTCAATGAAAGTACAAATTTTTCGCTTTCAGTTTGGGGTAAAGTTTAGTGAATGGTAAAATATATATCATTTAAATGAACGTACAGTTGTTGAACAAATATTTGTATTATGTTATGTTTAGCTAATTATAAACTTGTAAATTGACCGTTTTCATTTTAACAGTTTGCTCTCATTACGTTACGGAAACCTGGATTGACTTAAAATACATTTTGAATGACCGTCGAGATTTAAGCGCTATTTACGACTGTCGGATAAAGGGTAATTACCAAGATATGAAACCTCAATTTTAGTTTTGTCTGGAACAAAAACATAAAATTATGCAATAAATATTTATTCGATTGTTGAATATGAGTATTTTAGTAGATCTGAGTAGAGAAATAATTAAAAAAATAAGATAACTTAGGACAATTATAAACTTTATTTTTTTTTTTTAATTACTTTAGTTATAAAATTTATTGAGCTTTTATTAAAAAAGTCAACCATGCCCAAACATTCCACGCTAGAATGTGATTCTATTAAGAAAGAGTATTAGAGATCTATGCGTAAAACGTGTAGATATAATATTATCTAATAAGAAAGACACTAATGGTCGCGCGGCCGATAAGGTTTTACAAATTTTCCATTATTTTAATTATTTTTCATTTTCATTCATTTACTTTTGTACACTTGTTCATTCAGTATAAACTTTACGATTAATTAACGAGGGTACACCGAAAATATTAGTGTAAACAAAAAAATAGTAGTAAAGAGTTTTGGTTTACATCACTCTATTGCACACAATCCCGTTTACGATTCAGTAATTTTATTCAACAACGGAGTTAAGTAACTCATTGTAGGTAAAAATGGTCAAATTCGTCCAATTAAAACTCATACTGTCGGTTAAACAATAAATTTGAAAAATTAGTACTTACAAACTAAATAAGTATAGCGCATAAGAATAAAAAATATTTTTTATAACTTTTTTAAGTAAAATTTTATGTGAAACACGGTTATTTTTAATTACCCGATATTTTCACTATCAGTATTATAAAAGGTATGTGAAAATATGTTGAATTTTATAACTACCTGAGCCTTTGTGTACTATTTTTTGCAGTTGGTTCTCCAATCTCATCTCTAAAATTAAAAAAAAAAAACACATTTTTATATTTATCTAATGTCTGTTTGTCAATTTCAAAATTAATGTGCTTATGATTTTTCTCATAGTTTAAAAACTAATCTGAAAGCTTTGTGTAATATGAAATACTATAAATATGAAACATGAATTACGGTTTAATGTTAAGTCATCCATTGGTTTGTCTGAAATTAAAACGATAACATTTTATAATTGTGAACAACAAACAAATATAGGAAAATATTTTCAAATATTACCAGATACTGCACACATATGAGATAATGACTCTGAAATTATGATTACAAAAAACTGATTTTTTAACGATATTGGACTTAATTTCATGTTCAATTATAAATTTAAAGGAGAAAGTCAAGGTATAAAATACACATTTAATAATAATAAGAATGTTAAATATACGAATTAAAATTGAGTGATTCAAATTTAATATTTCCATCACTTATAAATTTGCATTGATAAATTGTTTTTGCAATTATTGTTTCATTACTTAATGGGTTTGCTTATAGAATAATAATTACTCATGGGAAGATTAAGTGCAACAATTTCTTTTATTTTATTCCAAAGGGTCCCTGAAATAAATAAATAATTGATTGCGTTAAAAAAAATCACATGAAATTTTAATGAGACATAATATGTATAAAAGTGTTCTGAATAGAAGTACATTTTTAGTTAAAAGTGGCCCATTGAACTAGTGATAAACCGTGTTGGAATTTTATTACATAATTATTATATAAAATCTATTATAGATCATCACTAATATTGTACAAACTGAATTATAATATAATGATATTATTCGTGTGGAAGACTCTTTTGAGAAATATTCTCAATACAAGTTGCATTATTTGAGCTTAGTATCCTCAACAAACAGGGACGGCGCCAAGGGGGGGCGAGGTTGGGCAGTCGCCCCCCCCAGATATTTTGCTAATTAGTATAATTTTAAATATTTGATTATTATTCCTAAAACCCAGATTTTGATTAACTGTATTTTTATATATACAAATTTAGTTATTACGGAAATTGTGAAAACAATTGTTGTTTTGATTTAAACCTGTTTATCTATACAAATTTAGTTATTAGCTATGACATTGCCACCAAATGTGGCCTTTTTTTATCAATATATTTTGAGTGTTTTTGCAATCGGTTATCAATAATCCGTCGTCCATATAATTATGTGTTTTGGTGTGTATATATATATATAAAATATATATATATATATATATAATTATAATATTTACGTTTGTGTGTGTGTTTTCCAAAAATTCAGTGTTTATTGACGGATTGTTTTGGTTTAATAGAATGTAGGTATAACACGATAACTGTAATCTCCACTGTCTGGTTGTTGGGCGTTTTATAAGCCTTCATTTTTACTTCGACTTTCATAGAGTACAATAAGAGCTATATGATGGCCGACAGGTAAAAATAACGCTTATTTTAAAAAGTTGCCTTACTTAAATTGTACACTAGTATATATTGTCCCTTAATCTGTAATAAATTCATATTTTATACTATTTCACTGATAAATATTAAAGTCATTCACTGATAAATCATTATGATTGTTTTTTATTGACAGAAGTAGGTAAAACTATTGTGGTTGCCCCTCCAAAAAATTCACTTGACCTTTCCCGCCCCCCTAGGAAAAAAATTCTGGCGCCGTGCCTGTCAACAAACCTTGACTTCACTAATATTGATAATTCCTGGAGTTTTTCGGTAAAAAGTATTTAAAAAAAAAAAAAAAAATACACACAAAGGCCAATATTTGGTGGCATTTTTTCATAGAGATTATAATTCACAAATATAAATTACGTTATAGTCAGGTCAAATGCAAGTACAATAAAACCATTAAATTTATAGTATTAATAATTTTAAGTATTTCTTACCTTTTTCATCATGTATTTCAATGAGTTGGTCTGTAACAAATTATGTATAAAAACTGTAAGTCTTAAAACTTAAAAAGTATTTTGTTAACAATAAATGTACTGACTTGTAGCATGAAGCGTCCTTCTCCAGCCTGCAGTATCTGTAAAAAAGTTGAATATTGAATATTGAATTTGTTAAGCTTTTTTTAAACGTTATCTAAGTACCTTGGGTAAGTACTTGTAAAAGCGAATTACATACCATAAGAATGATTTGCCAAAACATTTGAAATAGCACAGAAGAGTAAGATATATATATATTTCATTTTTGTCTGCAAGTAATAATATAAATTAAAACATATTAAACGGAATTATTGGCCTAAGAACTCAAAGTAATGTAGAAAAAAAGACAAATGACTATCAAGCTATCAGTGTTATCATCAAAATTTGTTTGAATTTCCACGTTAAAAAAACTAAAGTATTTTACAATTACAATTTTTAAAATTTTACTTATATGTTTTTTTTTTATGAAAAACAAATCGTTTTTGGATTGTATTATGTTTTATCATTTGTCGGTTTGAACGTTTACATTTGTTTGCATGATATTACCTTATTGTTACAAATATTATATCAAACACAAATTTTGTATGGAAACCAATAAAAATATTTAAACAAATGGTTTTTACCTACGTATGTCATGTATTCTAGTTCACACATTTTTCATTACTGTGTTGATATTTTCAGATCTCTTAATAAATAAATTAAATTCCTCTACATTCATTAATGTGTCGCAGTTAAGAAAATAGTATCGTTATACATTTTCTATAAATGTTTACACTAGACCATTGTATAGACGATAGCATATAACCGCATAGGTCATCGATATTTCTACAGTGTGATTATTTTATCATAGGCCACTCAATATCTTAGTTCAATTAATAATTTGATTTTTTTTTTCAAAAAATGTGATCTCGATTTTCAAAAAATGTATACATTTTCAGCTCCTCAATCTTAGTTTTTTTGATAGCAACTTTTTAAACATAAATTTTGTAACTTTTTACAATATGCTTTTTTTTAACTCGCTTTTGACTAAAAAAAAAAAGCAAGGGCCTTATTCAACAAAGTCCAAATTTATTGAGTAAAGTATTATTAAATGAATGTGTCAACACTAATATTCAACCAATTTAAATTACAAAAAAACTTACAATATAAAACATTATCTGGAATGTTAACTAATAAATTTATTAGGAACTTAATTGATTAGGCCCACGCTTTTATTTTTAATCGAAAATTAAAGACGTTTAACATTATTTAAAATTGTATTTAATTTTTGGTTATTTTCAAAGTAACTGACATTTTAAATAAAATGTGCTACAAATAATTGGTAAATTGTTCTTGTAGTTAAATATTTTTTTTACTTTTTAGTTAAATATTTTTTTTACTTTTTAGTTAATTTTTTTACTATTTTTTAGAAAGCATGTTTCTAAAAAATTTTTTAAATTGAGAATTATGTACCAAACATTTTGAATGATCGATAAAAAATTTTTGGATAACTCTTTTTGAAGTACTTAAATAGTTATAATAATAATAATAATATGAGTACTCAACAATTGCTGGTGATATTATTCAGTTAGTTCAAAACACATATTTTGAAAATACATGGTTTTAATAAAACCATTAAATATAAGAACACAATTTCGTTTATTACTTACTTAAATATTTGCAATGATAGTTGTACTGACTGTTTCAATGGTTTTTTTACGACTGATCGAATGGCTTACATATTGCCGACCGAAACAATAAAATCTAGATTTATTTTGCAGAATTTGTTATGCGAATTTGTTAACAACAGCAACATTAGTCATTTTTCGTTATGAACAACATATTTACATAATTCTGAATCATAATAACAAGCAGAGTATAATATTTTGTTTGTATACTAAATACTAAACCTTACAAAACAGTTCGTGCAAACGATCACCGCAAATGGAAACGCGATATTAAATCTATCAGATTCAACTTTTTGTTAACCCAAGATAAAAATGTAGAATCAAGTTTATACGGGGATTATAGTTAGGAAAACCAATGTCATTAAACTACTCTTAGTATCTAATATTAACGTAATTGTTAATAAATCCCAACATAGAATCCAATTAGTATTACTATAACTCGAATGCTGTTATTAATGAATAATTCGAAGGGTCATTAAATATTCCAAAATATGTTTTCAAAGCCACATCTTTTGTCCACCAATATGTTTCGCCTATTATATTCAAAACGGCTGTCTGCTTATGCGAGTTGCACAAAATGAGAAGTC